GTGGCCCCTGCTGACTCTGGGCTGGCAGGCTTGGGGCTGGCACAGGCAGTGTGGCCAGAGTCTACCCCTTTAATGGCTCCAAGGCTGGGGCATAGGACAGGAAGTTTTCCTGGTTGTACCGAGAAGGGCCACCAGGGCTCCCTGGGAAAGGCTTGAGGCCTCCTATTTCGAATTAAGTGTCTACACAGCACTAAATTTGAAATAGCTATTTCGAATTTGGTGTTACTCCTCGTAGAATGAGGTTTACCAAATTCGAAATAAGGGCTCCACTATTCCGAATTTATTTCAGAATAGCGGTTTGCCTGTGTAGACGCTATTAAAGTTCATTATAACTGCTGTTATTTCGAATTAACTCTGTAGAGTAGACATACCCTTTGCTCCGTTAACGTGTGTGGCAAGGACTTCCACAGGCCAAATATGGATTGTGGAAGCAGTTGCCTTTGCTCAGCTTTATTCTGATGACAGTTCAATGGAATTGAATATTCCTTTGTGGATGTGTTGTGAGACACAGTAACTATAAATGTCAAATATCATAGGAGTAGCCGTGATAGTATGCACCAGGTCGCCTTTCCTGAGCAAGCTCCTTGAGCACATCGAGCCAATCAGACTTCCTTTCGGTAAAAAAAACCAACACAGCAAGGCAGATTTTAAGTGATCGTAAGCACTGAGCGTACATATAAAGCCAATGACATTAGAAATAAAGACAAATGGAAACTCACTCCTTTAAGCTGGACAGGATTTTAATCAGCTTCTGCCTCACACTGCTACTACTCACAGTGCCCCCAGCTTTCCTGCCCTGGCAGGCGTTTTTCTGTCCTGCCTGGGACCCCTTTCCACAGTTCCAGCTTTGGTCCGTAGGTATTTTCAGGTGCTGCGTTGTAAAGCAAGTGAGACCAAGTGGGTGTGTCACCTCCCCTCTGTCATAGTTTCTTCCAGCTTCCTGGAAAGACCTTTCTTCATCACGTAGGGGTCCAGTGCACCTCGTGGCAGCCAAGCACCTCGAGGAACCCTCCATTCTCAACAATTCCCAAGATACTCCATGGGCAAGTGTAGGGATTGACAAGCAGTGGCGAGCCCCACTGGCCAGGCACGCGGTTTGGCACGAGGCGCATGCACAGACCGTGCTTCGCATGCACTGATCAAGCTGTGGTGCCGTGCCTGTATGGCCTTCTAATGGTCTTTTAAAGACTCCCGATATAGCTGCCTCCATTGTAACCCACTGGACCCGACTCCCCTCCGAGAGCTGAGCTAGAACCTGGGAGTTGTCATGGGTCCTTCTCTCTGAAGAGTTAGCGATGCAGTGAGAATATCTATTAAAATATTAAACCTAAACAGTGTCACTTAAGGGACTTGCCACACAATGTCAGACCATGTTAGTATTCGAGCAGAGAGGGTCTGCTAGGGATTCATTTTCTTTATTCGGCCAGGTCTAGACTGCATCCCTCTGTCAACAGAGGTACGCAAATCAAGCACATAGAAATTGCTAATGAAGGAGGGATTTAAATATCCTGCATAAACATGGCCACTGCTTTTTTCTAAACAGAGAGTTTAAAAAAAACCCAGCAGTCTAGATGCAGATCTTTCAAAAATGAACCTTTCTCGACAGATCCTGTATTCCTCAAAAACGAGGTTTACAGGATCTGTCGAGAAAGGTTCATTTTTGAAAGATCGGCCTCTAAACTACCAATTTTTTGGAAAAACACCATTTAGAAAAAGAGCAGTGGCCATGTTTATGCTAATGAGGTGTAGGAGATTTAAATCCCTGTTTCATTAGCAATTTTGCTGTGCCTAACCTACATCGCTCATTCGACAGAGAGGTGTAGTCTAGACACCGTTCCATAGGAGCTATATACAGTGCTCCAGATCCCTACTTGCTAGCTATCTGCCAGACTCTAAGTACCCCCTACCAATATTTGAAACGGCTAATCTGCAGCTGGAGGCAGGCAATAGACTTGGGGACGATACAGTCAGTGATGGGGCAGGAGGAGAGAGGAGGCAGCACAGGGGTAGGACTCTTGCAGAAAGAGTCAGAGCAAGAACAGAGGTTTGGGAGAATAGATGGAGCAAGGAGTGCAGTTCTGGGGCCCAGATGCCTGCTCTAGAAATGTGGCAACCCCTTCAGTTCCACAGAAAATGATACTCAATTGTGTAGCATATTCAGTTCAGGAAAGGGTTTGATGTTCCTCTGATTGTCCAGGACCACAGGCAGGGCTAGAATATTTCTTCTTGAGGTGCAGGGGTATGTGGTCCCTTAGGTTCGGTGTCGGGCCAAAACGAGGAGTTCAGGTGCGGAAGGTGGCTGCATGTGGAGGTACAACAGTGCACATGTACTGTGACTAGGGGTACGGGCTCTGGGGTGGGGCTGGGGATGACTGGTTTGGGATGCAGGAGGGAGCTCCAGTCTGAGGCCACGGGGTGTGGAGTTTGGGAGGGGACTCATGATGGGAGCAGTGGAGTGGAGGGGTCGGGACCAGATTTAAGGTGAAGAAAGGGGTGCAGGATTGGAGTTTGGGTTCTTGGAGGAAGTAAGCGAGTTCGAGGGCAGGAAGAGGCTCAGGTTTGGGGCAGAGGGTTGCGTTGTGAGGCACTTACCAAGGACAGCTCCCATTTGGGTTGGGAGGAACAGGGAGTTCTGCACAGCCGGGCTCACCTGCACGAATTGTCCCTTCAGTTCCTATTGGCTGCAATTTCTGGCTAAAGGGAGCTGCGGGAGAGGAGCAGCCAGGTGAGGGCAGCATAAGGTTGGAGTTTCAGTGACACGTCTTACAACATGCCCCAGCAGTGTATGGAGGGCCAGAAGCGCAAAAAGTCACCTCGCTCCTGTCTCACCAGGAAGGGCTGGCCCAGAACACAGGGGCCTTATGGCTTATAGCTCATGCCCATGGGATAAGGAGACACTTTAGTTACTAAAGCCCCTTTCCTAATCCGGTTCCCATTAGGAAATTAGGCCCCAAGACCATGTCACCAGCCAGCTCTGCACTGCTCTCAGCCTGAGAGTCAAAGCACCAGGAGAAAACTTAAGGACTCTTAACGAGAAAAGAGAAAATGCGAGCATTATGAATGTAGCCCATGCCCCTGGGCTAAGGAGACGCTTAAGTTCCTAAAGCTCCTTTCCTAATCCAGCCCTGAATACAGGAAATAGGGCCCAGGGCCACTTCACCAGCCAGCTCTGCACTGCACTCAGCCTGAAAGTCAAAGCACCAGGAGAAAACTTAAGGAGCCTTGACGAGAAAAGAGATGGAGGAGCGTGTCCCGGATCTGTTTGGTCCTCACGCCATAGATGATGGGGTTTAGCATGGGGGCCACAAGGAGATAGATGTTGGCCATGAGAATGTGGAAATACAGGGCTATGTTCTGGCCAAACCTGTGTGTCAGGAAGGAGAAGAGTCCTGGGATGTAAAAGGCCAAAATGGCACAGAGGTGGGAGCTGCACGTCCCAAAAGTTTTGAGCCGGGCGTCCTTTGTGGGGAGGCTAAATATAGCCCTTAGGATCTGGCTGTAGGACACAGCAATAAGAACCACGTCCAGGCCTGTAATGAAGAATGCCACGGAGAGGCTGTAGTAACTACTGACTTGGATATCAGCACAGGCTAGATTCACTATAGCTATGTGCTCACAGTACGAATGGAGAATGATGTTGGTTCTGCAGTATGGCCATTGCCTTGCCAGGAAGGGATGGGGAAATACAAGCACGCCTCCACGCAGAACCACGGCCAGGCTGACCTTGGTCACCACAGAGTTTGTGAGGATGGTGGAATGCCTCAGGGGATGGCAGATGGCCACGTAGCGATCCAACGCCATGGCCATGAAGATTCCAGATTCTATTGCAGAGAAGCAGTGAATGAAGTACATCTGGGTGAGGCAGGCACTGAAATTGATTTCCCTGGAATTGAGCCAGAAGATGCTCAGCATTTTGGGTTGGATGGATGTGGACAGGACCAGGTCAGTGATGGCCAGCATGCAGAGGAAATAGTACATGGGCTCATGGAGGCTTGGCTCCCTCTTCACAATGAAGAGGATGGCGATGTTCCCCAATATGGCTAGGATGTACATGATGCAGAAGGGGATGGAGATCCATATGTGGGCGGCCTCCAGGCCAGGAATTCCCAAGAGAATGAAAGTGGAGGGGTTGGTGAAGTCGGTGGCGTTAGAATCTGGCATGAAGTAGGGGAGGTGTCCAACTCTGAGGAGGAGCTGTGTTTCATGCGTATACGACTTTCTGTAGGTGATCTGGATCTAGGGGTGATGTTCGCAGAACAAATTCCTGGGTGGAGAGACAATGTTAATATGAAACAGTTCCTGTAAGATGTCTTCAAGTCACTGGGGTTTTATGGACTGTATCCTTGAATATCAAGGATTCAGGTGAGAATATGGCCAAACCATTAACTATTATCTTTGAAAATCATTGACTATAGGAAAGATTCTAGAAGTCTGGTAAAGTGTATACATACACGTACTTATAAAAACAGTGAAAAGGACAACCAAGGGAATTACAGACCAGTTAGCTTAACTTCTGTACCAAAACAATAATAATAATAATAATTATAATTATAATAATAATAACCAAACAACTAAGGAGTCCATTTACAAATATCTACAAGATAGTAATGTGATTTGTAACAGTCAGCACTGCTTCTTTCTCCTTCATCTCCACCTGTAGCCAGACAGAGCACCAGAGCATGGATGCCTCTACCCAAATCTTGGTAGCTTGCAATTCCCACTTGGTGGCTTGCAATTTCCTAATATCCAGTCTGGGGAAATCATCCAATGCGAAAGATGGCTGCTGGTGGAATCTCTCAGGCAACAGGTGGGAGAGCTACAGGACGAGGTGGCCACGGTGAGGAGCATCCAAATCCACGAGCAATTCTTGGACCATGTCTGTGAGGAAACAGCTGAGGTAGCTGTCCCAGTACACAGGAGTGCTGACACACTACTGCTGGAGGAGGAGACGACTCAGGGTGGACTCTGGCAGCTGGTTACTTCTGGCAGCATGCACTGCTCCACCCCAGCTCCAAACCCTCCCTCCATGGTACAAGGAAACTGTGATGCTCTTCTTTATACAGGAGATAGGAATCATCACCTACAACGGAGGAGGAGAAGTCTTGTACCCCCAAGCCTGGGAGGTCTGCTGCTACCACTGCGAATAGGAAATGTAGTGGTGGTCAGAGACTCTCTTCTGAAGGGGACAGAGAACAGCAAAACAGAGACAATGGTTCTCAGCAAGATGGATTTTAGCAAGCTCAGAGAGCTGATAGGTGAGGTCTCATGGGAATCAAGAGTGAGGGGATTGGCAGTTTTTCAAAGGGATATTCTTAAGGGCCCAAAAGGAAGCTATTTCGTTGTGTCGGAAACATAGAAAATATGGCAAAAGACCGCCTTGGCTTAACCACGAGATCTTGCATGATCTAAAAATAAAAAAGGAGTCATATAAAAAATGGAAAGTAGGACAAATTATGAAGGATGAATATAGGCAAACAGCACAGGAATGCAGGGGCAAGATTAGAAAGGCAAAGGCACAAAAAGAACTCAAACTAGCTACGGGAAAAAAGGGAAACAAGAAGACTTTTAATAAATACACTAGAAGCAAGAGGAAGACCAAGGAGAGGGTAGGCCCACTGGTCAGTGAAAAGGGAGAAACAGTAACAGGAAACTTGGAAATGGCAGAAATGCTTATTCTCTTCTTAGTTTCTGTCTTCACCGAGAAGTCTGAAGGAACACCAACCTAGAGAAGGCTAGTGGGAAGGGGGAGAAATGCATCCCAGGATACTCAAGGAGCTGATAGAGGAGGTATCTGAGCCTTTAGCTATGATCTTTGAAAAATCATGGCAGACAGGGGAGATTCCAGAAGACTGGAAAAGGGCAAATATTGTGCCCATCTATAAAAAGGGGAATAAGAACAACCCAGGAAACTACCGACCAGTTAGTTTAACTTCTGTGCCAGGGAAGATAATGGAGCTGGTAATTATGGAAATCATCTGTAAATACATGGAAGGTAATAAAGTGATAGGGAATAGCCAGCATGGGTTTGTGAAGAACAAGTCATGCCAAACTAATCTGATAGCTTTCTTTGATAGGATAACGAGCCTTGTGGATAAGGGAGAAGCGGTGGATGTCATATACCTAGACTTTAGTAAGGCATTTGATACGGTCTCGCATGATATTCTTATTGATAAACTAGGCAAATATAACTTAGATAGGGCCACTGGATAACCGTACTCAGAGAGTAGTTATTAATGGATCACAATCCTGCTGGAAAAGTCAAATATAACTTAGATAGGGCCACGATAAGGTGGGTGCATAATTGGCTGGATAACCGTAGTCAGAGAGTTGTTGTTAACGGTTCTAAATCCTGCTGGAAAGGGATAACAAGTGGAGTTCCTCAAGGGTCTGTTTTGGGACCCGTACTGTTCAATATCTTCATCAATGATGTAGATATTGGGATAGAGAGTACTCTTATTAAGTTTGCAGATGATACCAAACTGGGTGGGGTTGCAACTTCTTTGGAGGATAGGGACATAATTCAGAATGACCTTAGCAAGTTAGAGAAATGGTCGGAGGTAAACAGGATGAGGTTTAATAAGGAGAAATGCAGAGTGCTCCACTTAGGAAGGAACAATCAGTTCCATACATACAAGATGGGAAGCGACTGTCTAGGAAGGAGCATGGCGGAAAGGGATCTAGGGGTCATAGTGGACCACAAGTTGAATATGAGTCAACAGTGTGATGCTGTTGCAAAAAAAGCAAACATGATTCTGTGATGCATTAATAGGTGTGTTGTGAGCAAGACACGAGAAGTCATTCTTCCGCTCTACTCTGTGCTAGTTAGGCCTCATTTGGGCTCCGTTTACATTAGAATCATAGAATCATAGAATCATAGAATAATAGGACTGGAAGGGACCTCGAGAGGTCATCGAGTCCAGCCCCCCGCCCTCAAGGCAGGATCAAGCTCCGTCTACACCATCCCTGACAGATGTCTATCTAACCTGTTCTTAAATATCTCCAGAGAGGGAGATTCCACCACCTCCCTTGGCAATTTATTCCAATATTTGACCACCCTGACAGTTAGGAATTTTTTCCTAATGTCCAATCTAAACCTCCCCTGCTGCACTTTAAGCCCATTACTCCTTGTCCTGTCCTCAGAAACCAAGAGGAACAAATTTTCGCCTTCCTCCTTGTGACACCCTTTTAGATATTTGAAAACCGCTATCATGTCCCCCCTTAATCTTCTTTTTTCCAAACTAAACAAGCCCAGTTCATGAAGCCTGGCTTCATAGGTCATGTTCTCTAAACCTTTAATCATTCTTGTCGCTCTTCTCTGTACCCTTTCCAATTTCTCCACATCTTTCTTGAAATGTGGCGCCCAGAACTGGACACAGTACTCCAGCTGAGGCCTAACTAGTGCAGAATAGAGCGGCAGAATGACTTCACGAGTTTTGCTTACAACACACCTGTTGATACAACCTAGAATCATATTTGCTTTTTTTGCAACAGCATCACACTGTTGACTCAACAGCATCACACTGTTGACATTGGCAGCTTCTTGTGCAAAACCACTTCCAGAAGAGAGCTTCTTCCCTGGCAAGTGCTTTTGTGCAAGAGCACCCATGCCAGTGTAGACACTCTCTTGTGCAATACAGTTCTGATGGCCATTTTAAGCATAGTGCTTTTTTGAGCAAGAAATTCATGTTGTCTGTCTACACTGGCCTCTAGGGCAAGAACAGTTGCACAAATGGGCTTATTTCTGAGCGGAAGCATCATAGTTGTTGTGCAAGAAGCCATGATTTATACGTAGAACTTACGCTAGAACACAGGGCTGGTGTAGACAGGCAGCAAGTTAGGAGAAAGACTGCGCCAGTGAAGACACAGCCTTAGGCTGTGACTACACTGGGCCACTTATTCCGGAAAATCAGCCGCTTTTCCGGAATAAGCTGCGAGCTGTCTACACTGGCCCTTGAATTTACGGAAAGGCAATGACGCTTTACTGTACAAAATCAGCCGCTATTCCGGAAAAACTATTCTGCTCCCTCTCGGGCATAAGTCCTTATTCCGGAACACTGTTCCGGAAAAGGGCCAGTGTAGACAGCCCACTAGTCTTTTCTGGAAAAAAGCCCCAATCGCGAAAATGGCGATCGGGGCTCTTTTCCGGAAAAGCGCATCTACATTGCCCACAGACGCTATTCCGGAAAAAGGGCTTTTCCGGAAAAGCAGCCTGCCAATGTAGACGCTCCTTTTCCAGAAAAACTGAAAATGGAATAGTATTCTGTTTTAAGCATTTCTGGAAATTCATGCCAGTGTAGACACAGCCTTAGAGTATTGTGTCCAGTTCTGGGCACTGCATTTCAAGAAAGGTGAGGAGAAATTGGAGAGGGTCCAGAGAAAAGCAACAAGAATGATGAAAGGTCTAGAGAACATGAGCTATGAAGTAAGGCTGAAAGAATTGGGCTTGTTTAGTTTAGAAAAGAGAAGATTGAGGGGGGACATGATAGCAGTTTTCAGGTATCAAAAAGGGTGTCATGAGGAGGAAGGAGAAAACTTGTCCATCTTGGCCTCTGAGGATAGAACAAGAAGCACTTGGGTTAAACTGCAGCAAGGGAGGTTTATGTTGGACATTAGGAAAAAGTTCCTAACTGACAGGGTGGTCAAACACTGGAATAAATTGCCCAGGGAGATTGCGGAATCCCCATCTCTGGAGATATTGAAGAGTAGGTTAAATAAATGTCTATCAGGGATGGTCTAGACAGTATTTGGTCCTGCCGTGAGGGCAGGGGACTGGACTCGATGACCTCTCAAGGTCCCTTCCAGTCCTAGTGTTCTATGATTCTATGACTCTATGTTGCCTACTTCCTTCTACCAGCATTTTAGAGAAAACTCCGAGACATAACAGTCCAGGTGACTTCTCGAACGACTAGGAAAGAAATCATTTTGCCCAGGCTGAAAGATTCTCGTAATTGTTCCATTGAGACGCCCGATCAGTGCCAGGCTTTCCAGGAGATAAATATCAGAAAACAGGTCCGGCAACTTTACCAGCCAGAGCGCTGGAACCCCAGAGAGGGGGAAGAGGCTCTGTGTCTTTACACACAGCTGGCTCCTCAGCCCTTTCCTGAAAGATCCTGAGACACTGACGTACAGATGGCTGGGGGCTGGAGGATGTCAGACAGGGA